GGGGGGGGGTCGATTTCATTATTTTGATGAAAGCATGTTGCCCCGTCGATGCTTCATATTAAGTAATGAATAATTGTGAGGCATCGTGGTGGAATCAGGCTCTCGTCGATTCTGGGGCATGTAGAGTTATTGGTATCATCTTAAAGCTTGTTCACTTGTCTGTATTTGAAGGGAAAAAATATCCGTTTATCTTAAATGCAAGTCGAGATATTTGTGAATGAAGTAGGTGGGGGGTCACCTGTTTTCAGAGGTAAAATTATTAAGAAAATGGCTGAAAAAATTAGTTTAGCTTAAGAGTCCGTGGTAATTGAAAATTTACATTTATTTTGTGCCTTTAATCAACGTTTTTCAGAAAAATCCACACAGAAATGCGTTCTTTAATGGGCATGAAAGGTGTCGAGCAAAAAAAAAAAATTAATAAAAGTTCACAAACCTGTGGAAAAATGCAAGTTTCTTCACTTTGATTATTTTGACGAGAGCCTGATTCCATCACGCTGCCTCACATTTACAAATACCGTAAAGGCTTACAGAAACACAAACTGGATTTTTGTTGGGTTTTTTTCCCCCACAGCGCATGCTCAAGAGAGCAGATCTCCGGCGAAAGAAGGTGCAGAAGGTGAGCCTGACGTCATCAGCCTTGTATCGGATGGCACACAGAGCGGGGCTAGACGCACCACAACTATTGCAGCAGGTACCACCGTGGTCTTACTGTTGTACTGTTGAGGTTGTCTGTTTGTTTGTTTGTTTGTTTGTTTGTTTGTTTGTTTGTTTGTTGGTTTGTGCAAATTGGTATTAATTTGTTAATTTTTTTGTTTTTATTAATTCTTAAATTCTTTATTCTGTTGCATGTTTTTTTACCTTTGGTTTGTTTATTGTATTGGTATTGATTCGTTATTTTTTTTATTTTATTTATTCTTTAATTGTTTAATCTTTTACATGCGTTGTCTTTGGTCTGTTTGTTCTGTTGTCGCTGGTTTTTGGGGGTTTCTTTTTTTGTTTTATTGTATTGCTGTTTAATTGTTTGTTTGTTTGTCTAATTCTAAAATAGGTGAGCTGACTTTTTCCAATAATCTTATTCCAACTCCGCAGAGAAAGCTCAAGCAGACAGAGAGTGAGGATGTAAGCTCAACATTGCCAGCACGAGCATCCACATCAAAGGGGTTTACTGCCACGCCTTTGCCCAGCTCTGAGCAGACGTCACCAGCAGGCCAGCCCGCCACGGACTGTCAGTTGCAGACGAGATGGACACAGGGCGCCCCAGAGAGGAGCTACGCCAGTGCTCTGAGGGGCGGTACCAAACCTGGATATACTGGTACGTTTGTTTAACCGTGTCCGTACGCCCTGGAGTCACTTTTTGTACACAAGGGGTTGTATTCTCCACATTATAGAATACTTCTAGTACGAAGATGTCTTTTAAACTTTTAGTATATCTCAAACAAACAAATATTTTTGACAGACTACTAATCAAAGCGTACGGATCGGATTAAGGAGTAAATTTCCTCTTTAGAAAGTGGTGGCACAGAGTTTCAAACGTCGTATGGATACGATAGTAAAACACGATGTACGGATAGGATTAAGTAAGTGTTTTACGGCACTTGAAATATAGTAAGGTTATACATGTGCCGAAGATTAAAGGTGTTACGAAGGAGAGAGAGAGAGAGAGAGAGAGAGAGAGAGAGAGAGA